ACACACACACACACACACACACACACACATACACACACACACACACACACACAGACAAACACATACACACGCACTCACACACTCAATCAAGCATGATAATTGTTATAACCTTGTCCAAAATACATCGGCATCACTTAAAAATCTGCACAAAAGATTAAGTTTCTGACTCCTGAGTAAATGGGAATTCCAAATCAATTGAAAAACGAACAGTGTATAAACGTCTGTTAAAGTGGGTTTTAACTGAGGCCAGATAAGTTTGCCTCTTTTTCAATGCTTTTCTGCACACTGTGGAGGAGGAGTAGGGGCCGGTTTCAAGTCCACCCACTCTTTGACAGGCCACGGGCGAGATTTACTATTAACCTCCACATCTCCGTACACACGTTTGAAAAGTGGTTGTGATCTACATAACGCTCGGTTCACAATAGCAATTGCGTCTAGTCTAGGACTGTTGTTCTGCTTCCAGGAAGAGTGTCGTTTTACTTCCCGGAACACCGGAGCTGATCCCAGTCTTCCTTTAGTGTCCTTTATGTAGTCCTCAGAAGCAAGACAGGCTTTGAAACAGCTTTTGCACTTGTAAGGGCATCCCGCGCTGTGTTTCATTATGCCGTTTTCTTCTGAAAACAGTAGAGGGCGAAGTAGAGAACCCTTCAACTGCGGGGATGTAGACATTAGAACGGACACACCTGACCCTTCTTGTGGCAACATTCCGGGGTCGATCTGACGTTTGTGGTACGCCGAGCGCGTTCGCCAGTAGAGATTTGAGAATGATTTACCCACTTCGGAGACTATAGGAGATGTCCGTTTTGAATGTATAAATCTCTGCGCTGGAGGAGCGGATTTCGCTCTAGTATAAGTACGCTTGATTCCTTCAATTGTATCTGTCTCGAGAGGAACTGTCTGGTGGTTGTGTACACCACTGGAACTCCTTTTGTTGATTCTAGTCCGTTTACTTTTAAGAACATTTTCTTCCTCCACACCATCCTCCTCCTCGTCTTCATAGTCGTGCTCATTCTCATCACCATATTCATCATCACATCGTTCTTGGTGCTTAAATCGATTTGACGGTTTTATCGATAGGATGGTCAGTTCGAGAGACACATCCCTACTGCCTGGCGGAGAAGTGAACGGGCGCGGTGTTTGTATCAACTTGGTCAGACCTTTAGCTATATTCCGCGACGCTACTGCGCCTGCACTCTTTGTGTCTCTATAAGGTAATTGAAAAGGGGCGTGATTTTGGTGAATGTCACAGGAATCAATCACGTTTTCCTGAGGCAACCCCCCTTCCGTTGTCGACATCGAATCATTTAAACCGTCGGCGCTTTCTGTGTGCCTGTGTGTATGATTCAAAGGCGTCAGTTTGGTCCCTATCACCATGTCCCTGTCGTTGAGGCCTACAGGGGAAGTGTGTTTTGGGTTAACAACAACCGATGGGGGCCCTGCAGAGTGTGGTCGGGGCGGCGGCTTGCAGTCATGGTGGAATATCTTGTAGGATGTCACAGGGACATACTTCAGTGATTCGTGGGATATAGCCTCGACGGAGGGCTCAACGCCCCCCTCTTTTGGTTGAGGCTGAGGATCTATGTCAGTCGTTGTGGTCGTGGCTTCTTCCTGTTTTACGTCAGCCTTCTTGCTGTTGCTTTTGTTCTGGCTTTCTTCAGTGGTTACTGTGTGAGCAACATTTACGGTGTGTGTATCAGTAACGGTGTGTGTATCAGTTACTTTGTGTGTATCCGTTGGATATGTCATGGTCCAGGCGTCAACCTTAGGGTTGCTGAAAGATTTCAGTTCAGCACCGGCTGTGACTTGTCCCAAGAGTCTACCTGAAACGGAGGAGTAAAAGAATACACGATTAGAATAAACGATGTATTTAACGTAAGTCTTAGTGTTTTACGCGCCCTTTGACACAATTTAAACCAGTAAGGAGGTGGGTCGGTCTGTCTGCTGAAATTCTGTACACACATTAACACATTAACATCCACACACATCCACACGCACAGACACGCACACACGTGCACACACATACACACACACACACACACACACACACACACACACACACACATTTACACACGTACATACGTGTATGGCATACCAAGTCAGTACCTCGAACGTTCCACCACGATCCGGGTATAGCCGTTTGAAGTTTGTCCTCATGTCTATTTCATCCCTTCCCCCCCCCCCCCCCCCGGAAAAAAAGTTTAAAAATATAGACCAGCGACCACTGTAGAGGTTTCTTGGTCAAATTTTGAATTATTGGTAAACATTTTAAGTCATAAACTATATCGTAAGGTTGAAATATACAATAACGCTGGGCAACATTTTGTCAAGACAAAGGAGAAAATGCCAGCACTCAGAGTGTAACATCCAAATGAGAACCATAATAAGTGTATATTCCATTTTAAAACTTGGAAGTGTATATGGCCAATCGAAGACTTAAAGTAAGATCTTATCATCCTGTGTGGGGGAGACAAATTCTGACTTGAAATTGTATAGCGTTAATGGACGTTGAATTGTAACAGCCTGTTTTCTTATACGTAAAAAGACAAAATAGGATTTGAAAGTACGCGGTACCAAGCTGATAGACCCCATTAATCCAAGTAAGGAAATGCAAGGCCTTTTTCGTGTGAGTACGGGAAAAATAAAAAGGATAATCAAGTGTACAATACGATGCTGCAAAGCTGGAATATGTGTAATAATGTAATTTAAATGTGTTCAATAAGGAAATTGTATGACTTGAGAGTTTAGAAAATCCAAAGTTTGGTCATGATCACACTTATTTTGCATTCTCCAGTTGGTACACATGATGCAATGTGAAGAAGAGGCACTTCCCCAATAAATATCAATCCCGTTATTTATCAATTACAATAGGGCTTTGATTTGCTATGAGTAACGTTTCTGGAAACAATGACGGTTGAATTGGTTTGACCTCCCACATTCAAAGCACTTTTCCAAAGGATCATCGCCTAAAGTTCAATTCCACACAAAAAATATTCTCACCAAATGCAACACTAACTTGCAACATAGGAGACACAATGCTGACAAAGAGTGACATTCTAGGCAGTTCAATATCAAACATTGCTGAGTGAGGTCGGTTATACTGAAAACAAGATTTTACTGGCTCATTCGGAATTTATTGAACTGTCTATAAAGTTGGAAATACAGCGTGACTAACATTAGTCATACTCTGGAGCATACTGTTTTTGGGGGGTTGGTTTATTTCAGGGTTGTTCTTGTTGGGGTTTTGTTTTGAGGGACAATCCTTTTTTTTGAAGGGTAGAACTAAGCTATCATATTGCAGATAAATGAAGACACCCTAGAAGGCATGACAAAAGAGCAAAAGCGTTACAACTGGCATAGCTTGTGTCAGATCCATGCAACGTGGATTAATGCAACTCCCTTATATGTGTCCATTTTGTCATATATCTAGTTACATGTAAACATAAAAAGGCTTCTCGGAACAGGATTGAAATTCAGCACTGCAGCTTTCAACACTGAATGAGACAATTTACTCACACTTTTTCTTTGAGGCTGTCGTTGGCTGGCGAGTCGACTGAGCCCCTCTCTCCTCTGCGGACACGGGTCTTTGGACGACACCAGTTGGCCTTAACGTGCTCCGACTGGTCAGTCCGCTGTAAGACATTAAGCCTTGACCATTGGTCATCGCCACCTTCAGTGTGTTGACCGGGGCTTCCGGTTCGTCAGGGTTGTGCATGGCTGATGATACTGTGATTGTAAAATGAGAGGCAGCGTGGTGGAATCAGGCTCTCGTCAAAATAATGAAATCAAAGAAAACATGTTTTCTCCCTGCTTAGCAATTTTTATCAAATTTTTATTTTTTGTTTCAACACCTTTTATGTCCATTTACAAACACATTCCTTTGAAAATTTCACCGAAAATGTGGATTAAAAGCAGAAAAATATAATTTACAGTTTCCATGGACTCTATAGCTTTGGAATTTACCACGCTTTGGCGGCCATTTTCTCGCTAATTTTACCTCTTAAACCAGGTGACCCCCACCTCCTTCAATCCAAAATATCTCCACTTCTATTGAAGATGGATGGGTAATTTTTTCTTTGAAAGCAAGACAAATGAACCAGCTTTAAGATGATACCAAGAACTCAATATGCCCCAAAAATTGACGAGAGCCTGATTCCATCACGCTGCCTCACAAATGATTTATTGCGAAAGATTGTTTTCCAGCGTCGTCTGTGTTGTAGTAATATTAAGCGCTTCGTAGTCGCACTCAGGAGAACCGAGTTTGATTCAGGAATGTGGAGATTTTTCTAATCGAGTATCTCAGCTTTTCCGTTAGAATGCATTCCTCTCAGTCTGAGTTGCCCCTGACAGGTTGGGTCATAAGCCCCTTTCCTAAATTATCTAAATTGTGTCGATGGGGGCGTTAAACACCCTAATTAAAAATAGAAATGCTGTTCACCTCTATCAACAAAATGTAAAATATTAGAAGTGGCCGGTTGCTCCGACGTTCCCTATAAGGGCAGTCCCTAGAGGGGAATATTGAGTTCCCGCAGAAATACGGTGTACTCAGTTTTAAAAACAAAACAACAACAACAACAAACGAAAGAAAAACCCAGATAGACTTCCAAACTCAAACTTCGAACTCACGTTTTCTATAAAGAGCTGCTACATCCCACAAATCGTTATGCATATTTGTGTTCCTGTACTTGTTTGTATTTATATATTTATTGAGTTTTCTGGAAGATATTTCGTTACAAATTTGTATATTATGTATTTTACATGACTGAGCAATATTAAGCTTTTACTTGGACAAATTATGAAGAAGAAAGACTCTCTTACTTAACTCTGTGGATTCCTTCATCAAGTGTGTACGAGAAAGCGAGTAAGGCCTGATGCAATTAAGCCAATTTCTTTTTATCGTGTTATTAATTTGTCGCTATTCCTCTCGTCTTCTTTCACTTTATTTCTCTGCTCTGATTTTGCCTATGTAGTTCTGTCTTTATTTTCCTTTCTGTCTGTTTCTCCATGTTTTTGTCTCTATCTATCTATCTATCTATCTATCTATCTATATATCTATCTAGCTATCTATCTATCTATCTATCTATCTAACTATCTATCTATATATCTATTTATCTATCTATCTATCTATATATATATCTATCTATCTATCTATCTATCTATCTATCTATCTATCTATCTATCTATCTATCTAACTATCTATCTATCTATCTATCTATATACCCATCTATCTATCTATCTATCCGTCTCCCCTTTTCTCTCTTTTCTACCCTCGTTCAATTACGTAATTGTAATTCAAAAATTAATGTATTTCACGTTTGACAGAATTTAGGCCCTTCGAGAAACGTATCGCTTCGACCATGCCTCGTACGATAAACTCTGGCTCAGTTAGATGAAGCAGAAAAAGAAAGACACTGGAAAAAATGGAATTTTGAGTGGTTGGCGGATGCTCTGGTGTGGTTTGCTTCTTCTTTCCTATCAAACATATATCATCTTTATCTAACATTCACCTTTTTTGTTTGTTACACTCTTGTAACACCTCTAATCTTCTGGCGCTCATATGACCTTATGCAGTTGCGAGCGCCGTAAACCCTCTAATTAAAAAAATGTACTTCCCGTATGGGGATTGAACTCACACCCTCTGTGCGCACGACAAAATAACTAAAACAACAGCTCAAGAAACGCTGGCCCTTTCCAATGTATGACAAATTATACTTTGATTGGATCTTGTGATTGTTGTAAAGAAAATAATCCGCCGAGATATTTTAAAGCCCTCTTTTTAAGTTAAAAAGATGAAAATATGGCGTGTCGCTCACATCTGGGATACGATATACTACATAATGTGTATGCGTTATCGTTTGCCTACGGTTGATATATTTTTTTTAAAAGACGTACCTTAAAGTAGGATTATTTTTTTTAATTGAACGGAAGCAAATGTTCCGCTGACATTTAAAAGTGGTCTTTTGCTAAGTAAAAAAACAACAATGAAAAATGTCTATCGCATCCTGAATAGGTTTATATCATAATAATCATAATTTATCTGAATGAATGTCCATGTTTGACATAATATCTGTAACGGGTTTCCACAATTACTAATGAAGAAAAGACGTACCTTTATGGATTAATTAATTGTTTGTTGGAATAAAGCAAAAGTTCGTCAGATATATTCAAAAATGGTCTTTTACTGAGTTTAAAAACGAAAATTGAAAAATAAATGTCTCCCACACCGTGAATAAGTGTTATAATAATATTCCTTATTTATTTAAATAAGTACCAACGTTTGACTATTTGTAAAGACGTTAAAGGTCTGTGTATGTACCTTATTGTGAACGAATTGTATTTATTGTTTTAAAACAAATATTCCCTAATGCTATTGAAATGCTTTCTTTACTTTAAAGTTTTTAAAAAAAAGAGAGAAAAAAAAGTTTAAAAATACATGAAACAAGATAATAATAATACAAACATAATAAAATGTCCTCATGTCGTGAATACGTGAGATGATATTATCTTAATGATGACAATATTATACTATAATTATGTACAAACCTTTGTGCGTCTTGCAACAGGGTGCACTAGAGTGTGAAATACAATTTCATATTTCTCTGACTCTCTCCCTGATCCAAGCAAATCGCTGAGATGATAATATTATTAGTCCAAATTAGTCCACTGCTCCAACTTCCTCGGTTGGAAAACATCACCGTCCCAGTGAACTTGTCAACCACAACTTGCTTTTTTCTGTGACAATAATCAACTACAACATTTTATGTAGTTGAGCCTCGATCTTTGAGAGTCTAGTCGGATCTGAACAAAGATTACGGTATATAAATTATATAAGTAACATTCCTCACATGTGTATTTACAAGCTAAAAAAATGTATCCACTCAATATCTCTGGAAACGGTTACCATCATCGGCCATTGCCTCCCATGGCTTAGCGACAGAACAGTATAGGAGTCGTGTCTTGAGTCCTTAATACAGAAGCCACGTCTTTTGCCTATTCATCGCTTAATGCTACAGTTTACACCCACAGAATTGGGAAATAGACAAATGGCGTATTTATCTTTTTCAAATTTTTACTGTACTCATCCATTTAGAATTGAGACCAAACTCTGGAACACGAAAATTGCTTTTAACTTAGATAGAAATACTAGCATGTTTTATATGACATAGTTGTAAATAAATTATTCAATTTTACAAACACCTCACTATTTACAGCAACAACAGCAAAAACAACAACAACAAAGACATGATAATGATGATAATAATAATAATAATAATAATAATAATAATAATAATAATAATAA